GTATCTTGTTCACAATAGTTATGATTTGAAGAGTGTACTTCATGGTCAGTGTCTTGTTCACAAGAGTTATGATTTGAAGAATGCACTTCATGGTCAGTACATGTACCTGAACTTATTTCACAGTCTTGGAATCCTGTTAGACTTGGGTCAATATTTTCAATACAAGTTACTGTGTTACTGTACAATGGATTATTCATCCTGAGCCACGTAAGGGCATTGACAATAAACTCAGGTCGTACTGCTTGAAAGTAGACATGACCTCTGAACTGCAGTTTTCTTTTAAGTTTCAACATAATTATGCCTGATCTTTCAGGAGGACGTGGTAAAATGTTGCATGTCTTGTCACAATCAACAGGCACATTACAAATAGCCCCTTTAATTTTTCGTTGTTGGCCTTTGGGCATTACTACTATTTTCTCGAATACAATGCGCTGTGCTACAAGGATCTGTTCAAGCTTTTCTAGAGATTCAAGTTCTGTAGGGATTTCATCAACAAGTAGTTTATTGTACACAGCTTGACACGGAACTTTTCCTTTTGAAACCTTCAAGTCACATGTTTTACAAATGTATTCATTGTTATCAAATGATTTCTTATTTGTGAAAAGAAAGCGAGTATTATATTTAGCTTCCTTAAGTTGAATAACTGATTTTCTATAAAGTAGTCTATTGCACACAGAACATGTGTAGTATGGACCTTCCATAATCTTCTTATGGAAAATTGAAATAAAATGACTCAAGTCATATTGTGAGGTTTTATTCGGATCTTTTGGAACTTTTTTGGATCTTTTATTGTGAGGTTTTGTTTGGTTATTTGGATCTGATGTTTTGTTTTCTTTCCTCTTATGACAAAATACATTTTTGTAATATAAAGCTTTTTGTTCTGTGCGGACTTTTTTCTTAGCAGGTTCAATTTGAGCATAGTTCTGTTTGCGTTTGTTTGCAGCTAATACTTTCTGTGAAGTTGACATATGCTTTTTCCTAATTCTTTGCCTTCCAGTATTAGTTAATTGGGATGTACACAATAAAAATTGAATACAGTACTCTACTTCGTGACAGTTGAATTTGTTTGTTATAATATTGCCCAATGTTTGAATAAGGGAATCTACATCATTGTCTTCAAATAATTGAAGTCCTTGATTTTCATGGAATTCCATTACAAAATATTTTGTCTTCTTTGTTTTAGTGGTACCACGGCCAGAATGGCAAAAAACACAACATACACAGTAACCAGAGATCCATAGAAGAAATCCAGTATTCATGTTTTTGTTTTCTAAAATTAACCTCTGAAGGACTAGTTTGGTGGACAAAGAACCACATGAAAGGATTCCTTGGTGTTTTGAACTATATTCCACATCTACATCAGCGTCATAGATCTTAAGCCTACTTGGTAACTCATTAATTGTGGGCTGGTTACTGATGTCAAGGTTTTCTTTGTAAAATATATTTCCATGTTCAACAACAGCTTCTAATGTAACTGACTTCCAATTACTACATGGTTTGATAATTGAAAAACAGATACAATAAAAACATATGGCACAGTTCTTTTTTGCATTAGTTTCCATAGTAACATCTGCATTAACTGCAGCTGTTTGACAGGTCACATTTTGATCATTGGATGAGAATGGCTCATTATCATTATGAACAACTTCATTTTCTGATACAGAAATGTGTAAACCTTTAAGCTCAAATATGGCATCAACAGTATATGAAGTCTGAAAGTATTCCACTAATTTATTCATTCCCTGGGCATGCAACAATACACAT